CCCCCCAGTCCTCGTCCTCCTCATCCGCTTCCTCTTTCTCCTCATGTTTCTCCTCCTCCTCGTCCTCCTCCTCCCTCCTCCTCCTCCTCCTCTCCTCCTCCTCCTCCCCCTCCCCCTCCTCCTCCTTTCCCTCCTCCTCCTCCTTTTCCTCCTCCTCCTTTTCCTCCTCCTCCTCCTCCTCCTCTTCTTCCTGCTCCTCCTCCTCCTCCTCCTCCCGTCCTCTTCCTCCTATTCGAACGGTACCGATGCACCAGGACTCCAGCACCTCCTCGATAAACGGAGGGGGGCTTCACTCCGGATGGAAGGCCATCGGAGCGTGCATGGTCGCTGCCACCGGCTGCATCGTTTGCATGGATGCTGGCGGCGGCGGCGCGGCAATATGCGACACCTCTGCGCCTGGGGGCCCGAGCGGCAAGCTCGCGCGCCCTTCTAACGCTGGGCGCGGGAAGTCATGATCTTGTCAGCGGCGAACTCCGACCTCAACGATCTCCGCCAAGTGGGCCGCGCATCGCCCCGCCTCGCTGGCATGGCGCGCAAGTGCGCAGACGAATGGCCGCCCTTTGTCCTGATCCAGGGAGGCCGCGCCAGTGGCAACCCTGTGCCACCCATGACCCTCCTGACGCACACTCTGGCCGAACGGAGGGCCAGCTAGGGGGGGAAGAGCAAATCCATCGACAACCGCCTCACCCGTTTCGACATCCTCCGCAACAGGGCGCAGCAGGCTGGCCAGCTCATGATCGGCTACGAGGGATTCCGTTGCCTCCTGCTGCTCGCGGCGGGTGTGTCGAACATCCAACCCACCATGATTTTGAAGCTTTGCAACATGGCCTGCCCGACGAAAGCACAGCAGCTGTCGCACATGACGGACCAGCTGCAACGGCTTGGGCACATAATCGAGAACTCGCATGGACATCTCGCCTCGGCCGTGCACTCGACCCAACACCAAATGCCACCTGCTCGGCGCTGTGACAACACCAAATGCCACTTGCTCGGCGCTGTGAGCCGATCGCAGAAACTCGCGTGACGATCCTCGTTTGGCTCAGAGCTGGTCGCAGCCTGCGGCGCAGCGGGCGGCCTGCAAGCGCACCTCCCGACGCTCCACGAGACGGTACGCGGGCTTGCCTCATCCGAGGAGCTCAGCCGGCTGAGGCAGAAAGGAGACTACACAGTCCCGGGCCAGTTGGTAATCGATGGCATGTCTGTATTTTTGGCCCTGGCCATGGACCTTGTTCGACCTCCGTCGGAGAACAGCGTGGCTGGACATTTCGGGTGGCTATCAGACAAGGCCCGCACCAAACAGTTTGACGACACATTATGGTGCGATACCCGAGACATGAGAACCGACCCCAATGACTAAAGAGAGCACCGGCCGAGATCTCATCCTGAGCATCATGGACGGCAAGCTCAGCGACGACCACAACACGATCAAGCTGTGCTGGGAGAAGTATAAGAAGACCGCACCAAGTTCACAAGATTGTAAGTTTACCATCAAGGGCAAGGGTGACCATAATGACAAACTCACAAGTTCGCCCAACACCACGGGCAACGACGACCTGGGCTCTCGCACTGACACTGCCAGCGCAGCGCACGGCCCCAACGACTGGGGGAGTTGAACCATACGCGCGCATCTCGCGACCTATGTTCGCGAATGCGACGTAGCCAAGCGCGCGAGTGCAAAGGCTGATCCCAGAACTATGTTCGTGGAGCAGCAGGCGAGAGGAAGTGGAGCATGCAAATGAGCGAGGCGTGCTCATTCAATTGCCTGCCGCCACGCAAATTTGCATGAAGTTTCGTGGGTCGGCGTAACGTTTTCATTCGCCGACCGACGAGGCACAACAGTTTCGCTTCAGCACCAGATTGGACGCTACCTATGCACCCTCTTTGCCTGTTTACCCGCTGCCTTTCTTTTTCCGCCGCGGTATCGGCTAGCTTGCACGTGCCTGCGGCATTGTCTGTTTGATCCGTGTTACTTCCTACTCTCCCCTTCGCGCCACGACCCTTTACTATTAGCCTCCTCATCCTCATCGTCCTCCGTTTGCTCCTCCTCCTCCTCCTCCTCTTCCCCCTCCTCCCCTTTCTTTCGAACAAAGGGCAAAGGCGTAAGCATAAGCTTTCGGAGTTCCGCGCGGATTGCTCGGATCGGCGTTGGTCCGCCCTGGCGGCGCTTCCGACGCTTCCAGGGACGACGCGAGAAATCCGCGCGGCGCTCCCAAAGCTTATGTTCATACCGTTTTTCCATATTCGGCAAGCCTTTTGAGAAGGCCCGGAAAAGAAAAAGAAAAACAAACACCAAAAAGAAACATCCGAAAACATTCGACTCTCGCTGGCCCGTTCCTCCTGCTACGCCGCCTTCTCCTCCTCCTCCTCCTCCATTTTTCTCCTTCTGCGTAACTCCTCCCTTTCGCACCCCCAGGCGTGTTGCTAAAGCGGGCCAGGATCGCTTGAGACTTCTTCACCGCTTATGATCCTGAAGCATGAGACTTGCAAAAGCTTCCCGGATGGATGGCGGGTGGTATTCAAAGTGTGGTTGTTGCCCTGACGTCGCACATATGCGTTTTTCAATATTGTAACTGTTTAAAAGGATGGAGGCGGATCGGTTTTTGAATGTGGCTCTCCCCGTAGCGCCTCGCACACTCGATCTTGCAGCTTGCAACAGCTGAAAAAATGGCGGGTGGATCGTTCACATAATGTGGTTCTCGCCTTAGCGCCGCGCGCACTCGTCTTACAAGGTTGTAACTGCTAAAAAGGATGGAGAGCGGATGTGTTTTTAAATGTGGTTCTCGCCGTAGCGCCTCGCACATTTGATTTAATAATTTACAGCAGTCCAAGGGATGGAGGGATCATCGTATTCAACATGTGGCTTGGCTCTCGCCGTAGCGCCGCACACATTCGTCGTGAACTTTGCAGGGGCTTCGCGGGTTCATGGTATTGAAATCCCAGAGACGGCGTTCTTGCGCGATTTAGGACCGTCAGGACGCGACAGCAACGCTGAGTCGCGGTGTTTTGACGCCCCAGGCGTTCTAGCACGATTGGAGAATGTCAGGACGAAACAGTCACATTGATTCGCGGCGTTGAAGTCCCACGAATGGTGTTCTGTCACGGATGAGGATTCTCAAACGGTTTGGCTTCCAAAGTGGCATTTCCTGCAGTGAACATCAGTTCTTGTCAGGGCATATGAAGATTGCAACGTCTTTGATGCGTCTTGGGTGTATAATGGTCATCCTATCTTCCTCCTCTTCCTCCTCCTCCTCATCCTCCATCCTTTTTTGTTTGTGGGTGTTGCTTCCCTGTCGCACTCCAGACGAGTCCGTAGGCCGCGCTGGGCGTTTCGCTTGAGATGATGTTCTTGCAAAGTATTCCCCCGAAGCTTATCCAATATAACATTCAAACGGATTGAGTGCCGTTCATGTTCAAAATATGGTTGTCGCGGTGGAGCCGTGCACGTGTGTATCAGAAGCTTGCAGCAGTTTTTCACGGATGAAGGCTAGCACCTGCTCAAAGTGGGTTTCTCACCTTGGCGCCGTGCGCGCGCATTAGTTTCAAACGTAAAAAACACCAAAACGGATGGAGGCCGGTGCAGCTTCAAAAAAAGGTGAAGCTCGTTGGGCATTGCTTCTATTCTCAAAACCACCCTGCCGCCTTTGAAAGGTGCTGTTCGTTGGGAGCTGTGTTGGATGATGTTCGTTGGGAGCTGTTTTGGATGATGTTCGCTGGGAGCTGTTTTGGATGACGTTCGCTGAGAGCTGTTTTGGATGATTTTCGCTGGGAGCTGTTGTGGATTATGTTCGTTGGGAGCTGTTTGGGATGATGTTTGCTGGGAGCTGTTTTGGGTTTGAGTCCTTGCGTCGCTCGACGGCCGGAGGGCGGTGCTCCCACCCGAGGCGCAGGCCCAGAGGGGGGCGGCTGTCTTCCAAGGGGGGGGGGGGGGGGGGCGCTTCGCGCGGCGAGGAGGAACGCTCGCAGGGGACCGGCGAGGAGGGGACTTGGGACTCGAGGGTGTCTTGCGGCAGGGCTGACAGATGCACGTTGGGCTCTCTGTGGTGCTCCTGCTGCTCCTCCTCCTCCTTCTCCTCCTCCTCCTCCTCCTCCTCCTCCTCCTCCTCCTCCTCCTCCTCCTCCATTCCCGTCGTCGTCCTCCTCCTTCTCCTCCTCCGCCCCCATTCTCGCCCCCCTCCTCCTCCTCCTCCTCCTCCTCCTCCTCCTCCTCCTCCTCCTCCTCCTCCTCCTCCTCCTCTTTCTCCTTCTCTTCCTCCTCCTTTTTCTTCGTCAGACCAACAGAAGCCTCAGGGCTGTTGCGTGCGTGTGAGACAAAAGGTGAGCACCGACTTGGCGTAGAAGCAGAAAAGATACCTGGCGGGCGCCGCGGTGACAGTAATAGACAGAGAGTAGGCGAAGCAGAGCTGAAAAGAGTAGGCGCCCGCCAGATGTAGTTCGCGGTCTGTCTGAGAACCTCAGTATACCCTGCCCCGACTACCCAACCCCCGTTTGGCGAGAGCCTCCCCACCCATCTATCCGAACAGTTTGTGGTATAGGTTGCCGCGTCAGAGCATGCGTGCAATGTGATGTATCCTGCAGGTCTGAGGTACTGCAGGAAAAACGTGGCAGAGGGGCTGCCAAAGGTAAGTCACGAAGCAGAGGTGTTGAAAACAAGAGCTGTGCATAAGATGAGGTTGAAGAAACTGTGCATGGTGAAGGCTGGCCTGGCCTGGAGTAGGCTGGCCTGCAGTGTAACGGTGGGTCACACACTGCCCTGGGGGCAGGGGGCCCGTAAGTTCAGAGAGTGTGTCATCCCCAAGAACGACCACCAACACCCCAGATGTATGTCTTCCTCCTCCACCCCAGTCAAGCAGATGTTACCCCTCCTCCTCCTCCTCCTCGCCCTCCTCCTCGCCCTCCTCTTCCTCCTCCTCCTCCTCCTCGCCCTCCTCCTCCTCCTCCTCGCCCTCCTCCTCCTCCTCCTCCTCCTCCTCCTCCTCCTCCTCCTGGTCCCTCCTCCCCAGGATGACTTCCGCACGCGCTGCATCATCCGCCTGTGCATCCTGGCGAGGCTGGAGGAGACCGCCGACTGGTTGAGGATGAACGCCATCTTCGACGGCCTGCCGAAGAAGGAGCAGCAGGTCCTGGAGTCCGAGGTCGGCCGCAAGGACCAGAGGTTGGAAGATCAGCGTCAGCACAAGCATACCGATCGGCTGCTATCTCTCTATATATATGTGTATATATACATATACATATACATATACAACATACATATAGTTATACATATGTATCAGGTATCGATATATATATATATATATGTCTTTATATATACACACATGTGTGTATGGTTTCTCTGCCCCGCTGCTGCTGCCGCCGCTTCGCGTCGGTCGTCGTGGTGGAGCGACCTGGTTACGAGCGATACATGGTGTTTGTTTCACTTGTATGTGTCTATATGTGTGTGTGTGTATGTCTATATATGTGTGTGTTTCCTCGGACATGTCCCAGCCCACGTGCGGCGCCTTCGCTTCAGGAGTCGAACGTTTTCCCCATCCCCTGCTCTTCGGGGGGCGGGCGCGCAGACTCCAGTCTACTCCCCATGCCTTCCCACTTCACGCTCGCACCCGCTTCTTCCGACCGACGGGCAAGCTCTCGCAGCTCCGCGCGGATATCTTAGGCCAGCGATGGGCCCCCTCCCCATACACATATATATATATATATATATATATATATATATATATGTACACACACACATGTGTATATATAGTCCTCCTCCTATATTTTTCTAAGCCGGGGCGGGGGGGAAACCCATCCCCCCCCCCCCCAAACCGGATTCCCGGGATCTGGGGCTTTGAGACCCTCCGGACGGGCTTCGACGCGGTTCCCGGGCCTCGCAGGGCGTTTTGCCAAGCCTTCCCAGCACACCTAGGGCGATCAGGGGGGTCATCGGAGACGTCCCAGGGACCCCCAAGACAGCACAGGAGCGCTCCAAGAGTGACCGACGTGACCTCAAGATGGCCCAAGAGGCCTCCAGGACGGCCCCAAAGAGGCCTCCAAGAGCACTCCCAAGAAGGCAATCATGCCAAAAAGAAGAAGAAGTTTTTCTGTTGGTTTTTGGTGAATGTGGGGGTTCTCCTCTTTTCGGCTTCCCGACGCTCCAAGACGGCGGTCTTCTGGGCGTCCGAAGCCGCCTGGGAGGCTCCAAAATCGCCCCACAACCATCCGCAAGGGCTTCCAGGCAGTCCAAGAGAGCCCCAAAACGGCACAACACGGGTCCAAGATGGCCCTCAGAGAGCCCCATGGCGGCCCAAGATGGCCCAAAGACGCCCTCCGAAGCATTCCAAATCGTGACCTGGTCGTTCAGGGAAACCGCGGTTGGAGGCAGGGTGGCCCGAGGAAGCCCCCAGAGGCCCCCAGAATACGCCCAGGAGGCCTCCAGAAGGCCTTAAGGGAGCCTGCAACAACTTTTGCGAGGCCCCCAGAGGCTCTCCAAGGCGGAAACTCCGCAGAAAAGAGCTGAGGAGGATGGCGAAAATAAGGACAAAGAAGCATGGAGGAAGGATAACGGATAACATTATTATAGCGGCGATGCTGGAAAAGGCAACAAGGAGTTCACGCTAAATTGCCGGCTTGACTTTCCTGTTATTCCGCCTGCATACCAAACTTCAAGGAACAAGGTGCATGGCGCGAAGCGCCACTGCAGTCTTGTATGTGTGTGTATATATATATGCTCTCGGACATATCCCAGCCCACGTGCGGCGCCTTCCCCAGCGCGCCGCCCGCGCCCGGGTTGATGCCCAGGGGCGCCGCCCGGCGGGTTGTTGCGAGGGGGTGCCAAGCGCTGGCTCTGGAAGACTCTGTGGGACACCCCGCCCGAGAGCTCCGATGCTTTTTCACTTGCTCGCAACGTCGACCCCCGTGGATGCCTGGACCCCTTCCCCCGAGACCATGTTCTCATCCCGAGTCGTTTCCTGGCGGTCCCGGGGCCCGATTTTTGCTCCTGACCTCCCCACGCGACTCTTGGTGCCACGGCGACGAGAGGCCGGGGGTGGTGGTCTTCTCTCCCCAGGACGGGGTGAACGAGATGCAGACGTACGTGATGTTCGGCGCGAGCGCCCTCCTGGAGCAGGCCTGGGCCAATGCGGCGGTGGGGGCGGGCCCGGCGCTGCTCCTGCTGGCGCGCATCCTGCAGGCCGCGGCAGCCCTCGGCGGGTGGCCGCCCCCATCGGCGGCCCCTCTCGGCGGCCCCTCTCGGCGGCCCTCCCGGCGGCCCCTCTCGGCGGCCCTCTCGGCGGCCCACCCGCGGCCCACCGGCGGCCCGCCGGCGGCCCTGCGTCGGCCCTTCGGCGGCCCTTCCGAGGCGGCCCTGCGGCGGCCCTCCGCGGCCCTTCGGCGGCCCGCTCGGAGCCCGCCCGCGGCCCGCGGCGGCGGCCCCCCCCCCCCCGGGAGGAGCCTTCGGAAGCCCCACGGGCAGTCTTCGGCGGCCTCTCGGCGGCCCCGCGGCGGCCCCGTGGGCAGGACGCGGCGCGGGCGTGCGTCCGCCTGGCGAACCAGCAGATGGTGCCGCTGCACATGGAGTGCCTCGGCGCGCGCGCGCGGCAGCACTGCGCAGGCGGCGTTCCGTTTGAGGACACGCCGTTCGCGCTCGAGGAGGGGCTCCCCAACGAGATGGTCCTCAAGGTGGTAGGTTATCGGGGGCGGCAAAGAGGGGGGTGATGACTAGGGGGGGTGGATATCATGGCGGGGGCCATGATATTTCCCCAGATTTCATGGCGCCTCTTCTTGTTTCGTTACGTCCCTGGCCCCCCCGCTGGGCCGCGCACATGCTGCCAGTCATGATTTGCACCCCCCCCTCTTGGACACCCCCCTCTTGGCCGCTCCCGAGGTTAGCCGGGCGTCCGCTGTCTCCCGCTGCGCCTCCTGCTGCTGCTGATCCGCCTCGTGCTCCTCTCGCAGTCAGGGCGCCGGAGTGAGGAGCTGTTTGCGTTCGGAAGGGGCTCGATGTTCCTTTGGCCCTTCCATGGCTGATTCTCTGGCGCTCCTCGTGCACCCAGGCGTTTCTAGTGCCAAAAAGGGGCTTCTTTCCAGATTAGCGTTCCTTATCTCAGCAGCCCGACTGTACTCCTTCTGTCCTCCCCCCCCCCCTCACTTCGCATCCGCCGTACTCTGGTCGATTTTCATGTGTAAAGTTGTGTCGGGCATGCGCCCCAAACGATGCGGAAACGCAGTTAGGACGGACATTTCCGCCTCAGAAAGTAGAGCGAGGCTCTCCGCAGAAGCACGGCGGAAACAGCGACGGCGGCACAGTAGAGCGGATACTGACGTCACAGGAGCTTGAAAAGTGCGGCGGGAATTCCCACCCTGCTTGCGAAAACGCCCGAAGTACGGCGGATCCGCGGTCAGTCGGTAAAGGCTTAACGACTTATGCCGTCCTTCGACTCGCGCTGGGGCGGCCGCGAGTTGCTCCAACTTTCCCTGGAGATCTCTGGATTGACCTGGAATTACCTGGATTTGCCTCGATTTACTTGGATTTACATATTAATCTGGCTCGATCCCCACAGGTCGATTGACGAAAAGTCGACAAGCCCTTAGGCTGTCAGGGCACCCACCTTGGGGCCACCCGAGCCCCGCGGGCGGCCCTCCTGGCACCCCTCGAGTCCAGAGCCTCCGCATGGTGCTCCCCCTCATTCCCCCTCCTCCTCTTCCACCTGCTCCTCCTCCTCCTCCTCCTCCTCCTCCTCCTCCTCCTCCTCCTCCTGCTCCTCCCCCTCCACCTGCTCCTCCTCCTCCTCCTCCTCCTCCTCCTCCTCCTCCTCCTCCTCCTCCTCCTCTGCCCGCTCCCCTCCTGTCTGCCCTTCGCCGGAGGGACCTCTGGTGCTGGCCAAGTGAGCTTCCCGGTCGCTGAGTGCGATGCGATAGCAGCGGCTTGCGCGCCTGGTGGTGTTCCCAAATGGCCCGCAAATCCCGGGGAGGCTTGTCCAAGGGGGATTGTCCAGATCCCTGCTGGGTTGTCCAAGGGGCTGTCTGGGGTAGGTCATCTCGTCGCCATTCATCAGCATCAGCATGGGCTGTCCGGATTGTCCGGGGAGGGGTCCAGGGATTTGTTTAATCATTTCATTTTCCTATTGATCATTGTAGCCTGCGCACCAGAGGTCACTCTTGCCTAGAGTCACTCTTGCGAGTGGCCGACCTTGCCACGCCCAGCACCTCTGCATGTTATTATTCAGGGCGTCGCCTGGCGCATGGGGGGGTGCACCCGCGCGGATTGCCGGATTGTTTGGAGTGTTCGTATCATTTATTACGCATTTTATTCAATCAGAATGTCAGCTTGTGATTAACAAATGAAGCCCCCCAGGGCTGATGGAAAGACCCCGCGGGGCGCGAAACATGTTTTTGATCACGCGCGCCAGGGCTCAGAGAGCTCGGGGAACCACCGCGCCGCGGATGATAGCAGACGGCACGAACGACGAGCAGGAGGAGGAGGAGGAGGAGGAGGAGGAGGAGAAAGAGAAAGAGAAAGAGGAGGAGGAGGAAGAGGAAGAGGAAGAGGAGGAGGAGGACGGGGACGGGGACGAGGAGGACGAGGACGAGGACGAGGACGAGGAGGTGGAGGAGAAGGAGGAGGACGAAGAGTTTCGATCGCGGCGGCGGGAGTTCCGCTCGACTGCGAAACAGGGAAACAACGCGGCGATGGCGGCGCCGACGATCCCTGCATCTGCCGCCTTTGCCTCCCGCCCCCCACCTTCCCCCTGTCCGTGCTGCTCCTGTCGGCGGCGGCCAGGCGTCGGCGCCGATCAACCGGCGCCGCCGCCGCGCGTTTCAATTTGGCGGGCGCCACCCCCGCGGTTCGCCCGAGCAGGGAAATCATCAGTTGAATCACACGTCCCGCTTGTTTTTGTTAATCACAGCATGGCGTCGCCCCGCTTGTTTTTTGTCACACGCCCCGCTTGTGTTCGTTTAATCACACGCCCAGCTTGTTTTTGTTAATCACATGTTTGCTTTTTCGCCCGATCGCGCGTCTTCCCCTTCGGTCTCGCCTCCCGTTTCCCCTCACGCTCCTCCTCCTCATCCTCCCCCGTTTCATCATCCCCCCGCTTCATCCTCCCCATCATCATCATCAGATCATTCCGCCTCCTTTCCTTCCTCCTCCTCTATCCCTGATCCTTTAGATTGGTTCCTGCGCGTCGCACCTCCATCGGGACAGCCAGTGGCGTCACTTGAGACTCCCCCGCCTTTTATGGCCCAGAGGCTTGAAATGCCCACCAGCTGCACGGATGGTTTTCGCATCAGCGCCGCGCTGACTCTTTGTAGAGTTCCCAACAGCTCCACGGGTTGAGGGGGGTTGCTTTTCTGAGTTGTGACCCTCGCCTGAGAGCCGGGCAAACTCGTTTTTCACGCTTGAGCACTGCACGGATGAATGGCGAATGGCTTAAAAAATGCGTTTGTCGCTTCAGCGCCGCGCACGTTCGTCTTGAGAAATACGAAATTGACAAGGATGTCGGTCGGGCCGTGCTCAAAATTCGGTTCTCGCGTTAGTGTCGCGCACATTAATTCTGAACGTTCCACCATATACAGACAGCACACAGAGGAAGGGTCCCTCAGTAGAGGCCTCTTGGAGCGTCGTGGGGGCCTAATGGTGGTCCCGGGCCTCTTGGAGGATTTTTGGGCGTATCTTGAGACCTCGTGGGCGTCTCTTGGGGCTCATTTGAGGCGTTTTTGGGAGCCTTGGCAGCTGGGAACATATTGGAGGATATCGATCAAAATATATCGAAACTTCAAGCACGGCCCCCCTTCGGGAGCCCCAAGAATCGCCTCTTGAACCCTGCTGGGGCGCTCTTGGAGTGCTCTTGGGCGCTCTTGGGGCTCTTTTGGGCCTTTCTTGGGGCCGTCATGGGCCCTCTTGGAGCCATCGTGAAGCCTCGGAAGGCCATCGCCCGCAAAATAGCGAGAAGACAAATTCATTGATTGCCTTTAGGTGTTTGAAGGATTCTGGCCTCGTGGCGGCCTCCTGGGGAAGTTCCGTGGCCACCCGGAGCCGTTTTGGAACGGTCTCGGGGCATCTTGGGAGCCATTTGGAGCTATCTTGGAGGTCATGTTGGGCTCCCTGAGGCCCTCCTAGCGCCATCTTGGGCCATCTTGGACGGTCCGACGACCCACCAACCCCCCCTTTTCCACGTCCAGGGGAGGGGGGAGGGGGAGGCGGAAACCCCTCCCAGAAGGGGGAGAAGGGGGTTTGAAGAGGAAGCTCTCTAGACCACCTACGCCCAGAGGGCTGGTGGGATTGCAGGCCGACGGGACGCTCGTCCGTCAAGTGGACGTCATTTGCAGTCAAAGAAATGTTTGCCACAATATGCGAAGGTTTAGCTTTGAACTGGAAGGCGTCTTGCAGCATCATCAATACATCCTGGGTTCCCTCTGGTCCTTCTCCTCCTCCCCTCCTCCTCCTCCTCCTCCTCCTCCTTATCCTCCTCCTCGTCCTCCTCCTCCTCCTCCTCCTCCTCCCCCCCTTTTTCATCATTATCATCACCACCCCCGCATCTTCATCCCCTTTTCCATCTCTTCGTCAACGTCCTCTTCTTCATCCTCCTCCGCATCTGCCTCCCCCATCGTCCCAGTGATTGTCCCCACCTTCCTCTCGTTATCGTCATCAGCATCGTCCTCACCATTATCATCACCCTCATCATCGTCATCATTCTCATCGTCAGCATCATCATCCTCATCAGCAGCAGCAGCAGCAGCATCATTATCCCACTCGCCCGTATTTCCCAGCTCGCTCCTCTCCTCCTCGTCCTCCTCCTCGTCCTCCTCCTTGTCCTCCTCCTCCTCCTCCTCCTCCTCCTCGTCCTCCTGCCTGCGATCAACCATGGGGACAATATGTCTAAGCGACAGACAGCATGCAAACGAAGAGGCATGCACGGGCAAGAACAGGAGGGGTACTCCAGATTTCGTAATAAAGGGAGGGAGGTCTCATTTCGGGGGGGGGGGGTCTCTCCCAGGCTATCTTGGAGGGCCTGGGGAGGTCTGGGGACGATGTTTTGGAGGGTTCTCCCACGGGGGGGGTCTGAAATGGCTTGTCTTGGAGGGTCTTGTATTACGAGATCTGGAGTACGAGGAAAGGGAAGGGCTAACCTCTGTGTTGGCCTCCTGCGAGCTCTCCCCCGACACCACGGGGACGGTCAGGCAGGGGTCTGGCGGGGCCCGGAAGGGTCCCAGGTCAGGGTCGGGGAGCCCACCTTCCCCCTCCTCTCCTCCTCCTCCTCCTCCTCCTCCTCCTCCTCCTCCTCCTCCTCCTCCTCCTCCTCCTCCTCCTCCTCCTCCTCCTCCCCTCCTCCTTCCTCCTCTCTTCTGGCTCATCCTCCTCCGCTTCCTCCTCCTCCTCCTCCTCCTCCTCCTCCTCGTCCTCCTCCTCTCCCTCCTCCTCCTTCTCTTTCTTCCCCCTTCCTCCTTCTGAGGTTAGTGATCATTTTTTGATTCGTTGTTTTGCCGATCGGCGCGGGCCCTCGTTCCCCCCCCCCTCCCCCCTCATGGGAGTAGATGTTGGCTGTTTGGGGCGCCTGTTTCGAGCAGGTGGAGTCCCTCCCCCAGAGGACGCGCTGTCGCAAATAGTCGCACTAAGCAGAGGTCCGGAGCCAGACCCCCCCCTCCCCCTCCCTCTCCCCCCTTCCGCCCAATGTCGAAACGCCGAATTCAAGAAACGCTCACTGATTAGCTATGCCAAGAGAATATGCTTGCTGCGATCTGGTCCTCCAACCTCCGCGCGCTCGTCGCGTGGAGCTTCCTCGTCTCAGGGGCCTCAACGTTCGAGGCCACAGGACCGGGGAGGGAAGATCGATTTGAGGAAAACATTCAAGCGAGCGGCCATTCTGCAGAATCCCACGTTGTCAGAGTCAGTCATGTGTCTGATCTCTGGCTGGCTCCGTATATCATGGAGGTCTGAGGGCGTCTCTGGGAGAACCAGGGCGAAACTCCCCCCAGTCGTGGCACATTCAACTCTCAGAATCAGAGACGCCCTCTGGAGGGAGTTGCTGCAGTCGAAGGCTGACCTGCTCCATCCTCCTCCTCCTCCTCCTCCTCCTCCTCCTCCACCTTCCCCTATAATTTGTCTTTTTCTTAATCCCCCTCGAGAGCCAGAATACCGAGAGCTCAGGAATAGGGAACCAGATGAAGAGCCAAGGAGTCAGGAGTAAGCCCAGGGGGTAGTGTCCTGCTTTTTGTCTAGCTCTCTCTCTCTCTCCCCTTCCCTCCATCCCTTCCGCCGTTTCACCTGGTGACCCTTCCATGGAAAACCAGACAGTCCGATGAACATACACTTTCAGGATTCCGAGGGCAGTTCCGCTTCCTCCTCCACCTCCTCCTCATCATCCTCCTCATCCTCCTGTTCCATCTCTGTTCCTGATAAGAACTCCCCCCTGTCGCACCCAGATGTGTCGGTGTGGTGGGGCGGGCGTTTCGCTTGAGATTGCTTTTCAAAATTTGGCCTTGCAGCAAGAAATTTGCAACAGCTTCAAGGGGGGATGGCGGGTGGTCTTCAAAATGTAGCTCTCGCTCTATCACCGCGCGTATTCGTGTTAAGAGTATACAACAGTTTCATTGGTTCGTAGGTGAAGTCCCAGGAAAGGGATTCTGGTACGGTTTAGGATTGTCAGGACGCCACAATCACGTTGATTCGTGGTGTTGAAGTCCCAGGATTGGCGTTCTGGTATGATTCGGAATGGCCAGGACGCAACAGTCATGTTGATTCGCGGCGCTGAAGTCTCAGGATGTTGTTCGGCATGACTAAGGGTGTTCAATCGGTTGTCTTTGAGTGGGAGACTTCCCGCAATGAAAATATACGACTGTAGAGACTCATGAAGAGGGAACTTGGAGTGAGGGTGTATTGCAACATCGTTGAGGCGCTCTAGGTTTACAGTGGTCTTCTCCTCCTCCCCCTCCTCCTCCCGATCGGGCCCCTCCTCTCCCAGTTCCCCCCTCTCCCCTCCTCCTTTACCCCTGCTCCTGCACCACCACCCCTCTCCTTGCGCCCCCCCCTCCTGCGCCTCCCCCTCCTCGGCCGCCCCCCACAGTCCCTCCCGCTACCCCTTGTGCTGCCCACCCTCCCCCGCTCCTCCTCCGGGCAGGACCGAGCCGGCATGCAACACGCACGCCGGAGGGGAGGGGGCGCGCAGAGGGCACCGGCGCGGCGCGGCCTGCTCGCCAGAGACCCCTCGGGGCCGTTCTCGCCTCCGGCAGCAAGAGTGGTCAGCGTGTGTCTTCTCCTGCTGCTCGTCCTCGTCGATCCTCGTCATCAGCATCCATCACCATCACCGCCATCATCACCGTCATCCTCACGATCATCGTCCTCGTCATCAGCATCCTCATCGCAGGCCCCCCCCCTCTCCGCCTCTTCCTCCAGGGTTATCTCGTGTCGTCTCCGGCAGTACCATCACTGGCAGCAGCACCCCCCTCCTCTGCGCCCTGCGGGAGGCATCAGCGAGCTCGACTGTCGCATCCATCATCGCATCCCCCTCCCAACATCCAGCTTGCACCATGGCCTTGCTGACTCGCAACACGCTCGTAGCGTGCCCAAGAGTGGCCAGCACATGGCACAACATGATGTTCACAGGTGGTTAGTGGATGCGCATCCCTAGATCAGTGTCGCGGGCTAGTCATTCATGTGCTGCCCGTGGGCTGCATGTGGTTGTCTCAGCACGCGAAAGGACAACACCCACAGCTTTCCAACTGCATGCGAATTTGTTGACTCGAATGGACCGTACGGAGGAGGAGGAAAGAAGAGGGGGAGGAGAAGGAATGAGGAGGAGGAGGAGGAGGAGGAGGAGGAGGAGGAGGAGGAGGAGGGGGAGGGAGGGGGAGGGAGAGAGGAGGAGGTCTAAGAGGAGGAGGAGGAGGAGGAGGAGGAGGGAGGAAGAGGACGGAGGAGGGAGAGGAGGAGGGGGAAGGGGACAGTGGCGCGGAGGGAGGCGGAGGAGGTGGAGGAGGAGCGGAAGGAGGAGGTGGAGGGGGATGAGCAGGAGGTGGAGAAAGGAGGAC